GTGTGTAAGCTAGTAAGTAAGTAAGTATGTGTGTATGTGTGTGTGTGTGTGTTTCTATCTATCTATGTATCTATCCATTGATCTATTTAATCTATCTATCTATCTATCTGTCTATCTGTCTATCTGTCTATCTATTTATCTATCTATCTATCTATCTATCTATCTATCTATATATATGTCTGTCTGTCTGTCTGTCTGTCTGTCTGTCTGTCTGTCTGTCTGTCTGTCTGTCTGTCTGTCTGTCTATCTATCACTCACTCACTCACTCACTCACTCACTCACTCACTCACTCACTCACTCACTCGGACAATTCCTATACCTGTAGCGATCGACTGTGTTGGAAGTGACTATTCCCAGTGACGTAGGTACAGAAACTATTCCCTGTGACAACGGAACTCTTTTGCATAATAAAAAAAATCAGAAGTGTGTGCACTGTAGTCTGTAGACTCTGTTCTCCCTTCAGTTCAGTACTTTTGTTCTCTTCTCTTACTTAGAGCTTAGACTTGACCGTAGAATAGATCTAGGAGAAAGAAGAATCGGGAAGGATTTCTCCCTGTCCTGTAGCGTGGTCTCCAAACTCCGTATGTTGACCTAGATCTAGAAGTGCATAAATTACCACTGAATAACAAGCAAGCTTAGAATGATCATTCCTTTTTCTTAAAATGTTCTTCCACTCACATCAGAATCTGCCTTAGTTAAATTAGATCTAGTATCTAGATATAGATCTAGATCTAGATCTACATTAGGTATAGTCTAGTATTTAGTAACCCATCACCATCATGCCCGTGTAGATCAGTGTGGGAACAATAGACTGGATTTAAAAGGCCTGTCTGTTCTCAGTGACACTGGGAACAATTCTGCCTGGCGCGGTTCGTCCATAGAGCACGATCGTGCAGTGCCGCATCTTTTAATGTTCTATTACGTAAAACATCAGCTATAATAAATAAAAGAAGCCAGAAACAAACACTAGCCAAATATTATATCAAAACACGGTCCTCACTGGCGCCACAACTGTCATTTCGGTGTCTATAGAGCCGTAAAACATCTACTGTGCCATTCCAAAGTCCTCGCGCTTTAGCTAAACACAATAGGATATTCAACACAGGTAACCTGACCTATAAATCGCTCTTGGGGATAA